ATTGACAGAAAAAGGCATGCTTCTCTTTATTCAGCATGTTTCTTACGTTTTGATATAGGTTATCACCTTTAAATTGATTTCAAAAACATAACATAAACATGAGTGCAATTGCGAGGCGTTTGTTTCAAGAAAAAATGGAAAATACATTATATGTTTACAGTGGTGAATGGAAAAAAAACATTGTGTAATTTTCAATAACAGCGTAGCCATGCCGAAAGAGTACAACGTGAAAAGACAGTATGAGACGAACCATCGATAATATGATAATTATGCTGGCGCAATCTGTCTCAAAACTCTAGGAATTGAAGCATAACCTGAGACAGCAACAGGCATCCTTTACAAGAGCTGAAAAAGCGAATGTGGCTTTCGTTACTGCAAGTTATGATCTCAGCCGAATGGACGCCGTGAGTATAAAATCTTACAGTGGAAGAGATTTCTTAAAGCAAGGCGTTGTAAAAGAGGCTGCAATTGTGCCCAGAGAAAGAACACTAATTTAAAGTTCTTTTATTAAACACGAACCCTGTGGCTGAACGGATTAGTGCAATTTAAACTGATGTGAAACAGTTGACATCCACATCATCCGGTTTTGAACATTTTTCAGTGCTATTGATGCGACCGTTGGCGTTAATGGGATAACCCGGCTTGTGGTTTTCACCAGGGCGTCACAGTGAATTTAATTCTCATGAAGAACTGATTGAACTGATCCCCATGCACAATACTAACAAGCCAGGACATTTCTCGGGAAGTCGAGCAGGTTTTGCATGATTGTGACCTGGATTTGAATCAACGAATAATTATCTACCGGCGATACTGCAAATATGGTTACTAGACAATAGTCTTATTGCCACGTTACGAACAAAGAACAATCGCACCAAAATCCCTCATTTGCACATTTTTATACAATATTCGTCTGCAACTTTGTGTTCAAAGATTTTAAAAATGGAACGCAAAGCGGTGAACTACATTAGAGATCGTGCTCTTAACCACCGTCAATTCAACCACTTGTTGGAAGATACGGATAATCAGTTTAACAATATTCCGTTCTCCACAGCTGTCCGCTGGTTGTGCTGTCACAAAATGCTAAAAAGATTTTGTTGCGACAAGAAGTACTTGTTCTTAGAGATGTAATGTCAAAACGCAGGTAGCGTAAAAGTTACAATTTGGCTCTAGTATCTGACTTTTGCTGTAGACATTACTGCACGATTAACTGATCTTAATTTGACATTGCAAGGTAAAACCAAACTAATCACTCTGATATGTGATGACATCAAGTGCTTCATTACAAAATTAAGCCTATGGAAAGTCTTATTTCTCAAGTGAAAACTTAGTTCCCTTTTTCTAAGTGCAGCGAGTTGAAATACCTTACCAGTATTGGGTCCGTACTTAGCTTTGGTAGATGTGGCAAAATGGCATCAGCAGTAGGCCGGTACGCAGTACCGACGCTTCACTGCCGCACAGCCACCACCAGTTGCATGTGGGTTAAGGATATTGCTAGGGTCGCCCGGTCCCTACCCAGGCTCGACCTCGCGCCCTCGGATTACATGACACGCTTGTGATCTTTAAGTCTACGGGCCGGCGCTGGCTATGACAGTCACCTGGAATTGTTGTCAAAAGAACTATAGGAAATACCTAGTTATTTTTCATCATGTGCACGTCAACTAAGATTAATCTCAGTATCATTCGCCATTGATGTTGCAAAGGCGGTATAAAGCCTGCAGATGAAACTAGCAGAAATGCACTGGGATTCTACACTCAGAACAAATTATTTTGAAATATGGGTACCTGGTTTCTTCTCATATCGTCCTGAAAACTTTAAAAACTTCAGAAAGTTTGCCACAAGGATTATGGCCATGTTCGGTTCAACTCATATTTGTAAGCAGTTGTTTTTTTCATGAAAGCACCAAAATCTCAACGAACAAAGCTGGCTGACTGGTGCTTGTCATTTCCGATCAAAGTCGAAACTGCACAAACATTTCAGCCGGAACCCACAACGATTGCCATTAAAAAGAGTTGGTATGCCTCAGGAAAATGCACTACAGATGTTCATTTTGAACTGTTGTAACGTTTGTAGCTTGCGTTGGTTGCTGCCACATAAGTCTGATCTGTTGTTGAAAATTAACTTGTTTTTCTCTTGTCTCATGCCTTCCTGCGTCTGTCTAGCCGCAACATCACTTGTATGCAAATTATTTGTTACCAACCAAGAGTTACTGCGTAACGATATATATATATATATATATATATATATATATATATATATATATATATAGTCGATTCCGGTTAATCGGACCACATCGGGACCAGACCATTTTGGTTCTATTAAGCGGCTGGTCCGATTAACCGAAGTTACCCGATGTAACAAGATGGGACATGCTATGCATAACATAGGAAACTACTATTATGACCTGTATTGGCGGCATATAGCAAACATTATAGCAAACACACAAATAAGAACTGCTTCGATATCGGACTTTGTTCACTGAAAAAGAAATTTACAAACAAATTCTTTGTAACGACCTACATGATATTCAGCATGCGAAGTACAGTTTTATACAAAGGGATTACCGAATTCCATTCAGCGTTTGAAGACCGTATCCAGTGTGGTTTGACGCATTCTTTTAACAGACTGCATTCGCACAAAATCACCACAAACTTGTATCGCAGTAATAGGACTACCTTCATTTCCTTCCTGCATGAAATAGCGGTGCAATGTTTCAATGCATTTCCTTGCATCCTGTTTTGTGACTGGCATCAACACGTTAGGGTTCTCTTCATCACTTCCATGGTCTTTTGTTGCTGTCGTGTGTTTCGCTGCTATTCGAGCAACAATGACAGCATCGCATTTTTCGTTTCCATCATAGAGTTGAAGTTCGTTGTCGATTGACAAAAATTCTTCGTAATTTTCAACTTGTTTCAGCTCCACATTCTCGTCGTCATTTTCATTTACAATCACCATATCCACATCCATCTCCGAGACAATATGCTTAAAGCCACAGTGAGAAAAACAGTTCCGAATTGTCGCACTGCTCATTATTCGCCAACTTTCGGCCACGAATGTAACGGCTTGCAAAATGTTGACCTTTGCACTGATTTCTCCGGCAGTCGAGGATGAGGTCAGCAAGCCTTCCTCAATTGATTCAAGGATGTAATTCACCAAACTTGAGCGATAAAAGGTCTTCAAATTTTTTATGATGCCCATGTCTATTGCCTGTATCAAAGATGTGGTCTTGGGAGGCAGTAATTCCATCTGGATATTCTTCAAGAAATCCAAAGTTGAATGTGCTGCACAATTGTCGTGAAGTAATAACACTTTTCTCGACTGGCGTTGTAGCTCTGTGTCCCAATCCTTCACCCATTCTTTAAAAAGTGTAGAGCTCATGTATGCATTTCTGTTCGCACGATACACAACTGGTAAACTGTCCATTCTGAGTCCCTTAAAGCAGCGAGGCTTGGCACATTTTCCTATAACCAGCAACTTCCTCTTGTCTGTTCCGGACATGTTTGAGCAGCACAAGAGAGTTACGCGATCCATTGCTTTTTTGCAGCCAGAGAGAGTAACATGTTTGGAACTTAAGGATCCGTCCGGTGTAGCCCTATAATACAACCCGGTTTCATCAGCATTATAGATGTCATCTGCTGGAAATTTTTCAGAAGTAGTTTTGTGTAATTACAGCATGTCTACATTTCCAGCAAGACAACCAGCCGCCCGTAGCTATAAAATCTCCGTGGCTCAGCATTTTAGCGAGTTCTTCTGCTTTGTACTTTAACGTTGGCCACTTACGGTCGTCGAACCGCGTTTTGGGAAGTACCTCGTCGTCCTTCACATTGTGCCCATGCTTCTCGCAGATCTTTCTCTTGTTTTATCAGGCGCGATATTGTAGATTTTGCCAAGCAGGTAATTTCCACCAATCGACGCTGACTAGTGGTTGGTCCCTGTTCCTTGATCTGATCTAGGAAACGAATCTTCTCAGCTAACGTCAAATCCCGTCGTGGCATTTTCTTAACATGCAACAAGACACGCACAGTTCACTGAGGTGAACTCGAGTCTGTCTCCTGGGTATTTCTATGGTTGACCTAGCCACCTGCTGTCCTATGATTTGCCGGACCTGTGTGCCCGCGATCACTTGCCGTGCTCGAGAGTAGGCCCGCAATACGGGCTCAGGGCATTCGGCTCAATGGACGTGCGGTACATGATCGAGCGGTTAACGACATGTGAACAAGCATGTATGTCTTCGCTCCGCCTACAAGTGTTGGAAACTACAGTCAGTTTCGGGCGGTTCTGAAGCCAATTAGATAGATGTGCCTCAAGCTTGCCACAGTTCAGTTTATCCAAAGGCCAACTCGGATTACCGTAACTGAATGATACGTTTTCTTGCCCGACATATGAACTGTGAGTTTAGTCCAGACATCCATGCACAGAACTTGATTTTAACACCTCTGTTACCTGCCACCTTCTATCGTCTGGTCCGATTAAGCGGAATTCCGGTCCTAATAAGCGGCTAAAATTAGGCTAGTTAATAGGATTCGTTTCGGTTCTTCAAAATTTGGCCCGAATAAGCGGCTGGTCCTATTAACCGGTGGTCCTATTAACCGGAATCGACTGTATATATATTAATGATTTCAATTACTTTGTCGTCTAGGGCCGTCATGCCAACAGCAATGTGCGAATCTGACCCTCTGGGGTACTGAGCTTTACATGCATGCTCTACACCCTAGAGGATACGACTTAATATATTGCAACTAATAATCAGTCCTGGCGGCGCGTTGCTTTTACCCATGGCTCAGTGGCTTAAGTCATTGGCTCTTAAGGTTAAAATCATGATTTCAGTTAAAGCAGATCCCTTAAATTCTTACTACTGACGAATTTCGATAAGGGGGAACAACCGTGTAGCGCTTCTCCGGAAATGTAGTAAATATTCGACTGAGTTTCTATGCGACGAACCATCGCACCAAATCCCCCCTGTTACTCTCCCACTTCAGAATTCACCCTTTTACATCCACAGAGCGAATGGTCTTGTCCAGACGGGCTCGGACCTCATCAGGAAGATCGTCTTCGGGTCCAAGTGAGTCAAAGCGCTTCTGCATGTGTTTGCATCCCATTTGGTTCACCCACTTGTTTGATATGGACGATGACTCATCGGTCAGTCGCTGTCGACCGACGACTTGATTGGTGCGGTGTGCTGTTTTCGAGCTTGTGCTTCACAATTTTAGTTCACCTTGTATTTGCTTCATTCGTGTTAACTAAATTGAGCATATGTTGTTGAATGGGTGAGACTGTCGGTAATAACAGTGCGAAATTGTCCACCACTGTGGTAGCTTGGCCGATTCCATACCTTAACTGTCATCCGCATCTTTTGTAGACCGAAGTCTGGAACTCGATAGGGTGCGCAAATCCTATATACTCTCTGTCCTAGACGTCTCGTGAACTTAGGCTCTTATTTTGCCTTCGCATCGTTATGAAATTAGATCCTATCGTGATTGGATGATACACTCACCTTCATATCCACTCTTGCCAGGCGGGTCAACTATTAGAGATCGGACAAGCCTAGTCCAGACACTCCTTAGATGTTTAAGACTGATCGTTGATCCTTTTCCTCTAATAGTAATCCATTTAGGGCTAGTCTACGAGATATAAACTCTGGTCTATTGGTGTAAAACACGAACACCACAAATCGTCTCTGACTTCGAGGCAACGCAACTATTGCTCACTGGTCTACTACCTCAATCGGAACGGCCTTTTACCAGTAATTCTCAGAGCCGCCACAGCTCACCAACGGTCGACTCACAGGTATTTTAACTGCTTCGCTGGAAAATGATATGTTGATTATCCTAAACCTGCCGTCTGTGTGTGACTGGCATGTGGTTCTCTGGCTCTACTCTCAAATACCTTACAGGCCAGCTTATTGAATCAAAGTTTAGAGGCTGGTGGCCGAATGGATTACGCGCCTGGCTTGCAATCCTTATGTCACCGGTTCGAATCCGCTTAGGGACGGGCGTCCTCGCGGTATGCTCAGTCATACGCGACTGGCGGGGGTCGCGTGGTAGCGACGCGTCGGTACAGTGTGCGGAAGTACCGCTGATGACTTTCCTTTCTCTTTCTCTCTCGGTACGATCAGTGGAGGAGCATCACCTACTCGAAAAATCCATCGTCATTGTTTATTTCTGCTGATTTTCTATTCCTGTTCCGTCTGTTTAACTGTAAACACTTATCTCTAAACTCCAACTCCGTGCTGTCCTTGAGCGTTAGTCATCTTTGCTTTGGGGTCACACTTCACGTTGGGACTTTCAGTTTCCTTACTCTATATCAGCGCGGTCAATAGGTGATTCTTATTATCGCCGTGCACTCTCTTGAAATTGCCTTGTGCTGCTCGCGGGAACGCACATATGATTGCATCATCCCGACAGACTTCCAAGTAATCGGTTCGGTTTTTCGTAACTAGTTATTTTCGCCTGTTCTATGGTGATATTAAGTCGATCCTATAAGTATTAACGACCTCGATGTCATTCTCATTTGGAAGGTTGAAGCCAATCTGGACTTTAGCGCGGTGTAAATAAATAAATTGTATATTCTTCGACGATGCGAGAAGCTGTTCTCTATAAGGAACAGATCAAATAATGGTACAACTTTTCCATGACATTTCATCGATACATTTTCAGAGATAAACATGGATGCAATTGCAAATTATGTTACACAGAGTAATCAGAATCGTTCTGCTATTTTTACCTGCCATTGAATCAAGATTCTTCGCAATCACATGATAGATATTTGGGCCGAGAGAAAAAAAATGTAATGAAAGGGGCTGTTGTCCGAAATGTTATGTGTATGTGTTTCAGAAATTTATTCAGACACCATGGATACCGTTTTCGAATGCGTTATCTAGGGACTGTGATGTCCCGAACATTTTAATCACGTTTTGGACGGTTAAATGCTTACTAATAGCAAGCTTAAAATTGCCAAGAGTATAGCATGTTCTGATATCACTTGGAAGTTTGTTCCAAATCTTTGAGTATTGGGTTAGAAAGAAACGTTCTCTGATTCTCGTAGAAAATTTTGGAATCATGACCTTTACCTCTTTGTTACGTATTGGGTATCTGTTGTTTACAGATATGTGAACACCGCTTTCAGGACTGCGAATTTGACAATTTATGATTCTGTAAAGAAAACATAGGTTCAGCTTCATTATCCGAAGCCAAACTGGGTCAAATCCAAGTTTATCGCATCGCTCCTTGTATGTCAACTTTGAGGAATATCCACATAGCTTTTTCGTGAAGCGTCTCTGGACCCTCTCAAGAGCGTGCTGGTCAGATTTCCGTAGATTAGACTGTACCATTGAACAGTATTCCATACACAGCAATACATATGTTTTGTAAAGGGATATGCGAGATTCCGTGAGGTAAAAATGATGGCAGATATAACCAATGGTCTTCATGGCTTTCGAAACTTGGAAGTCACAGTGTTCAGAAAAGTTAAACGTAACTGAATCTCGCACGCCCAAGTCGCGAATTGTCCTGCATTGCGAGATATAGGCACCTTGTAGTAATAAAGTGTCTGGCGGTACTTGGCATTTGTACGACAAAATATTACACTTGTTCACGGCAAATGACATCTGCCACAGTTGGCACCAGGAGTCAAGGGCGGATAGGTCATCCTGAATGAGACGTACGGCTTCCTGAGTATTTGCACGTGATTGTGAGTAGACAACTTTACTGTCATCAGCAAAGATAAATGCAACACCATTTCTTATTCTCTGGAATATATCGTTAATATAAATTAGAAAAAGAAGTGGACCAAGAACACTCCCTTGAATCACTCCACTAATGATTGCTTTCGGTGTAGAGAAATGGTCGCCTATGCGCACAACCTGCTGTCTACCAATTAGATATGAAGACAGCCAAGAGAACATCGGTTCTCCAATGCCTATAGCCTTCAGTTTTTTCAGTAACCTTCTGTGAGGTACTCTATCAAAGGCTTTTTGCATATCCAGGAACAGGATTACGACACTGTTTCCGTTGTCAATGGCAGCCGTTGTGTGGTTTAAAAAGTCAGTCTGACATGTTGCGCAGGATCGACATTGCATGAAGCCGTGTTGCGAAAAGCTGATGATGTTAACTTTGTTCAAAAATATAAATAGTTCATCTTTCACTATCCTTTCCATTATTCTAGATACGATGGGTGTGTGATTTATGGGACGAAAGTTTTTAACCTCGTGGGCAGCGCCATTTTTATGTCGCGGGATAACAACAGAAGTTTTCCACTGAATAGGGTATACTCCGTTGTTAAAAGAGAGTGTAAAGAGGTTGAGCAAAAGCAGAAGGAGGTCACTACCACTGCGTTTTATTAAGCATGGGGGTAGCCCATCAGGGCCTGTGCACGTTGAGGAGTATAAGCGAGCGACTTGACTAGTGATTTTCGCTATACTGAATTTCACTGTGCATAGACCTTCATTATTTTGCGGCGTGATAAATGTTGGTGTATCTATTGATTCAGTGAGCATTTATTCGGCAAAATAAGCACTGATAGCTTCGCAGATATCATCTGGTGCGTCGTAGTATGTTCCATCAGGCGTGGTGATAAAACTGAGATTGTCACTGCAACGCGAACCCCGGGCGCGGAATAGTTTGGCTAGCTCAGTTGTTTTGCTAGGGCCATTCAGAGCTTTATACTCTTCTAGAATGAGAGTTTTGTCTCGTTGATGCCTCTGTTCTTTCACGAGCTTCGGCTGCTGTAACAATAGCGCAAAATCAGCAGTTAACTTAAATTTCTGACGAATCTTATGAAGCTTTCGCGCTGCCTTGAATGCCTTGCGATCGGATTTTGGTTTGGTTTGGTAAGCACATTTTAGTGGTATTGCTGAATCGATGCAGAAGCCGATTATACTATAAAACAGGTCCGTCGCACGTTGAGGACATGAAGAGAGAAAGAATTTATCCCAATTCATCGAACGAACCAGGTCCTTGAATGAGTCCCAGTTGACAGAATTGAACAGACGATAATGCTTTGTTTTCTGTACAACGGCCATGCGTAGTCTTAGACAGCATTTGATTACGCGATGATCGCTCCCCGGAAATTCATCAAGAACGTTAACACTGATTGCAGGTATGCCCAATGAAAAAATGAGATCCAGCGTACTTTCACCTCTGGTAGGTCGAGAGACTTGTTGCTGCCAACCATTCATTTGGATACAGGAGTTAAGATTGTGGTATTTCAAAGGAGCGGTTCCTATGGGCCATGAAATCGAAGGCAGATTGAAATCACCTCCAATAAACTTATGTAAAAATGGTAGGCCAGCGGCGCATTCAAATGCAAGCGTCAAAAGTTCTAGGTCTTCTTGACTGCCGTTTGGCGCGCTGTATATACATCCCATAAGTAGCTGTTGCTGATTAACAGATATCGTCAGCCAGTGATTCCTGAACATTGTTCAACACTGGGTTATCGAATGTTGCTGCTGTGAGCGAGTTTTTTAGATAAATTACGCAGCCACCACCTCGACGACCAGGCCGATTCCTCATAAATTTGTTATATCCGAGATAGTTAACTGGGTGTCAGACATGCCATCATGGCACCAAGATTCAGTTATAAATAATATATCAGGATTATTCACCAAAACAAACGAGCGTACTGCTCGACTTCGTCATTAGTGATGATGTACATTGTCACTGTTCATTGTGTCTTGTGTTTCGAGTTCTTTTGGTCATATCCTTATTGCAGTGAACTTTCTCAGTGTTGTTTGGAATTTAATTCACCTGATTGTGAACATTTGTGCCCATATGCCCAAGCATGCAAGAGAGGTTGATTAAGTAACCGGCAGATAGCACGACCTTTTGCCAATCTTTGTCTCTTTTTATTTTACGGTTTGCAACGTAACATCACAGCAGACAGTGTGGCTTGATAAATGGCTTGCTGCACCGTGTTCATAATCATATTCTGCGTATGTAACCTGTCAAAGACGCATTAATAAGATCACCTACTGCTACGACACTAGTCTCTTGACGAATTGTCCAACGGGATTTCTTTTATTTCCCACTAAGGGAAATTCCAGGCATAACTGCAGTCCTCCTTCGG